TTTCAAAATGCACAGGATGATGCCAAATATGGTATAGTAAATTTATACAAAACAAAGTCCAGTGTAGTTTTTCCAGTAGGCCACAATACTTATTACAGACTTATTTGATCAGGCTGCTAAAATCTGAAATTATAGCAGGTCTTTTCCCTTAGTTCATATGTTTAAGAAAGCCTGGGATCTACTGCTTTCTGGTAGCTCTGAGAAACAGCTCTTGCCTTTGTGTTGTGCAAGGACAGTTTTTCAGTAGCGATTACTCAGGCATCATCAGAAAGCATATATGGAGCTAGATCTGACAAAAGTGTAGCTTTTTATGTGTGAAAACATCCTTTGCTGAATAGGGATGCACGTATTTTTCACTTTCTGGCAACCTTGATGATCTATGATTATGACTCTAGTTTTGTTGAGAAGAATGAGTCAGAAAGGAAAAGCTACTTAATTGATTTGTTTTGCTGCCTGCAAACCATGCAGTGTGGTTATATAAAATCTCAGAAGCGATCACATGTCAGGAAGACAGGTGATGAACAATTTTCTATCTCGTGTCTCAGCTTCGTTTCCTGTTGGCTGAACAATAGGTGAAGGACATCCTTAACTTTTTTTCGGTTGTCAATAGCGTTTAATTTTTAGATGTCTACATGCTATGTCGCAGGCGGGGAGCTGCACAGTGGAGAAGGAAGCATTTGCTGGTGCTAGGAAACTGAAGCAGCTCCTCACAACCAAGGCTGAAACTTCATATTGGTCATCTGAAGATGAAAGACTATGCATTCTCTCTGAGCTGTAATCCTATTACTCTGAACAGTGGCTCTGCTCTCCCTGCTGTCCGTGGCTGGGAACGTGCAATGCCTTGGCTGAGTGCCCAGGCAGTAACCTGCCTTTTGATATTCTGCTCTCAGTCTCGTCACAAAGCTTATGGCTTCAGAACTTATATTTGGATATATGATACTGCATAGAAATCCAGGATTGATAGGGAGGAGTCACTAATTTCCCATACTTGCAGATCCCAGTTTTCTGTAGAATGGTTATTCTTTCTTGTACTGATACATTTTCAAGTGTTTGCAACATTTTTGTGACATAGATGTCATTGCCGTTTGTGAGGGGTTTAGGTTCAGAAAGTAATTTGGAAGTTCTAATTTATGAGATCTTACTTATTCTATGCAAACCTGCAATCTGTCTTTCTAAAAGTACTTTATCTTAGAATTAGGAGAATAAAAGTACTTTTTAATGTGTTTTCTGGTAATGAGACTGTGCCATCCATTGCAGGAACCGTGCTGTAACATACAGTTTGCTATTCCCTTGTGCATACTGTCTCTCTCCAACTTACTGTTTGCTGCAGTAACCTGAAATACATAATCCAAATAGAAGTTTTGGTGGAAGGATTGCAATATTTATGTATTGTTGCATGTATTTCATAATATCTATGTCATGTTGCATTAGTCAGATCTTGGGGGAGTGAGTTATTCAAATTCAGTTCTCAGCCATTTGTACGAATCCTTTGAAAAGATGAGATTTGTTAATGCAAAGAAAGAGTATCTTTCTCACCCCTTTCTTCTGTGGCTGCACATAAGGTGGGATTGAACCGTAACCACTGAAGATGCCAGTTTGGATTTCTTGGGGTAGGACTGAAGATTTAATCACCTGACATGGAAGCAGAATTAAATGTATTTAAGCAGAGTGTTTGGAGTAACTTGAATTGGTAGTTGAGAGCTAAAATAGAGGAAGAAAATGCTGGGCTACTGATACAGGACATACTTTGAAAGGGCAGAACCTCTGCATAACATGAATGGTTATTTGACTTTAAATGTGCATGTACCCAAATGCAAAATGAGTATATGCAAATCAAGACTGCATCTACACAAACGTTTTTACTCCTGCTCTGACCTTTGGAGAATGTTATGGCAGAAGAGAGACTTCAGCCAAAGTCTAGAAAAAACAAACATGCCTACACAAAGCTGTAAATGCTTTCTGTTCCTCTTAATCCAGAGGGGTTGTTTTTCCCATACAATACAGTGCTACATAAATCTTATGCATAAACAGCAAAATCCTCTCCTACGCAGTTCAAAAGAGCGTATTTCTTACATGCATCTTACAGCAAGTCACATAGATGAGTATTTATTATAGAGTGCATTGTGGGGTGGAGATGAATAATTCCTTATTCAAAAAGAACTTTTAAAATCATGTTTAAAATATATATTTTCTTTGTCTTCAAGTGTAACTTGATGTATACCTAAAATGTTTTATCTGTCCTCAGAAACACCTAGTGGAAATACGCTAATTCTAAAGCTTTTTTTCTTTTGAGATTTTGAAAAAAAACCTGGATCTAGACCTACAAAATTTTACTATCTCAAGTCAGAACAAAGATGAACATTTGTTTTGTTTATAATTGTTAAGATGCTCATAAAGATAATCATACTGTCTCTATAATCACTTCTGTTTTTTAATGAGGTGTTTTAGTAGAGCTACCACAAGAAGGAAATAAAAGAAACTTATTCAGAGCAGATTTCTAGTTACTTCAAGCAAAAGGATCTGGAAAAATCAAAATACAAAGTACTCTGTCAATAGAAAAAAGCAATATATGCTATAAATGCAGCAAACTCCCTAGCATGTAATCATGCACGCTAATTTACCAATGCTGCCCGCTCTCAGAGGTGAAACTGAATCTAAAACCAGTAACATCTGTTATTGTTACACAATGTAGAAGTTTAAAATAATTTTATTTTAAAAAAATATTATTACCATTACATAGTTTACATGCAGATTTGTGTAAAAATGAATTTCAAAATTATTTTTTTTTTAAGTATTCTTCTCATAAAGTACAGTGGAGAGCATGTGGCCATGCATGTTTCAAAAAAGTAAATTTACAGTTAATACTTTAATTCTTTAGAAAGGTGCTTTAATAACCATTTTCCTGCACATGTAAAGCTACCAAGTCTAACTCTGTTGTGGAGTCAGACATCTGTTTCATCTTTTATGTTTAATTTACAATGCAGCTCTAGAATAGGAAGGTTGGTCTTTCATTCTTGCTGTAAAATGTGAAACCAAAACAAATGATGTTTGTGTTACTAAGCAGTCTTTTTTTCTCTTTATTATTAGAATGTGTGTTGGAAAAGTTTTCGGTAGTTTGTTTTCGAATAATATTACACAGATCCTTTATCTTTGTTGTTAAAAATTGGAGGGCAAATATTGAAGTTGGGAAGATTGGTTGTTTTTTGTTTTGGAAAGAACATTGAGATAAAAACAAATGTTGCGGAAAACCTTTCCTCTCAACATAAGATGAATCAGCTAGGACTGCTTATAAGTGTGGTTTGTTGTTACTGGTGTTTTACTGAATGTTATCATAAGCATTTATCTTGAACTATTTTATTCTCTTTTGCCACATTGAAAGAACTATTTATGGCTATGAAAGTAATAATATTTAGACCTTGGAAATCATTCTTAAGAATTCATACTTGCTGTCTCACGTCAGCTTTTGTCTGACATGAGTATAATGAGATTAGGTGACAAAAGTCAGGTTTGGGGATTCTTGCTGTGTCCTGTCCTGGGTTCATCCCAACAAGGTTTGGGGCCAAGATGCCCCGTGCAGCAGCCACACCAGCAGAGCCAGGATTGTGATGCCTTGCATCAGGAGTTGGAATTGCAGGTTCTTGTCTTTTGCTGCTTTGAGGAGAGCCTATGTCCCTTCTTCTCATTTAACTTCATTTGGATGTCAAAAGCTAGGTGCAGTAAATCTAGGCCTTTTCTTCATGGTCTTTACATATAATTGGTGAATTGGACTTTAGTCCAACAACTTCATTTCTTCAGAGACAAAAGGTAACCACTGGAAATGCCTTGACAAACTAGCGTGTTCATGGTGCCTTGAGAAAATACACCTTCTTGTTTAAAGTTTACTAAATTCCAAGTTACAGTATTCTGTCAATCATAACTTGCAAGAGAATTATTAGAAAGTGTGTATAATTTTGTTTGTGTGTACACACACATATATAGGCTGTGTGTTTAATATTTGCTTTATCCCTCACATATTAAAAAAAATTATAATCTCACCTTGCCTAGTTTTGCTGAATTAGTTTCTCAGAATATTCTGTGAATAAGCATTTGCAGCAACTGGCTTCTGAAATTTTTTGCTTTTTAAATAAAAATCACCCTAATTGCTTGTGATTTCTTATGTTTAAAAAAAACCCAAAGACTATCTAAACGCATAGCAGAAATGGTTTGGGTTTTTTTTTTTTCCTTGGGTACCAAAGGTCTTGTTTTCCTTTTGCTTTTCAAGTCAAAATCTTGTTCTCCAGTTGACTTGAATCATGACAGCAGCTCTAGCTCCCTAGTCTTAAGGTGTGGAGTAATAAAGTAGAAGCCGGCAGCATTTTCAGTGTGCCCAGCGTCAATGAGTAGCCATCTGTGGAGTTGCTCCTAGACTTCTGAAGCAAAGGGAGAGAGTAAAATGCCAAGACAAATGAATGACGGTTTGGCAGCTTTTTCACATGGGAGCTTGAGTACAGCCCCTGGCCAAAGAAGAGCATAACATACTGATTACTGGGAGAGGATCTGTTTTTCTAGGCAGCTGTGCTGCCACAATGTGGGGAGTGTCAGAAGGGCAAGAATGTGCAGTCAGAAATAAGAGGGTGGAGGCTACTTAATACTCCTTGCCAAGTGTTAATAGAGAATTTTTTGAGGAGCAGCACAGAACTTCATTTTAGGAGTACAAAATAGTAAGCACCCTAATCTATTGACTGCAAGATGGTTTCAAGAATGTGATGAGAATGAAGTATTTTTATATTCCTGTCTTTCATTGTTTCTTGACCTTGAAAAAAAGTTATTGAGCCTCTTCTGCTAGACTTTACCTATTCTGTAATGTGCAGGTGTTCTTTTCTTGTAGAGAAGCAAACTAAAGGCAGGAAAGTAGCACAGAAATTACAAGAGAGGGTTTTTTTCTTGGGGTGGGTTTTTTGCTGGTGACAGTTGTGTGGTGAAATTCACATATATATGTTTGCTGTGACTTTTCTTTATAGGCTCAGAACAAAGAAACGAAAGTACTGGCTGCTGCAAAGGTGATTGATACTAAATCAGAAGAAGAACTTGAAGATTACATGGTTGAGATTGATATTTTAGCATCCTGTGATCATCCTAATATTGTTAAGCTCCTAGATGCTTTCTACTATGAAAACAATCTCTGGGTAGGTATTTTTTTCTTCAACTGCTTTTACTTATTTCAAAAGGTTATTGAAATTACTTTTTTTTTCTTGGCTTTATTAAAAGATCATTTGTTAATCACATTTCTTTTGGGTTGTCACTATTGTGATAACTGTTCAGTTTTGATACTAATTTGTAAATTGTGAGTATGACTTAGAAAATGGCACTGTAAAATTGAGCTACGCTGAGTAATTTGATCGGGATTTTGAATTGAAAATTTGGAAATTAGCAGTTCATTTTGGTGTATGGAAAGAGTTCTTAGTGCTTATTTGTAACCGCAGGACTCAGATTTTAATTACATTAGCACAGTTTAGAGTGAGATTCAGAATCCGCAGCTGAAAAATAAATAATGTGCTGAAAAGGTCAGCTTGTGAAGTATGTATTTTAGATACGAGTAAATTCATTGGTACTTCCGGGAAGGACACTTTACCAGGACTTGAACCATAATTAATTTACTTAAAATATAGAAATTTGTACATAGAAGTATAGTGGGCGTACATATGACTGTACATCACTTGTCTGCTATATCCTGTGCACTGAATAGCTTTAGCTATGAAAATATAATTCTTTTAGGTGATCCAATGTAATACTTACAAGTGCTTTTAGAATTGTACAAAACAAATGTTTTTTAAAAAATAAGTTTATCATTCAAAAAGATACCTAAGCTAATTAAAAGAAAATTTTCTTGGAGTCTTAAAAATATGCTTTATCCTTTAGGTATGAAAACAATGGAAGTGTAATACCATGTTTCCTGATGTAGATTTATTTTTACAAGCTTTGTGAGAACTTTGTGTGATCTGAATGCAGAGTAAAATGATATTGTATAAAATAGTGGAATAGTGAAAAAGTTTCCATGCATAAAGGTCAGCATGAAAGCAAGTATGCGTAGAGGCAGATTATGAAACTGAGTGGATAGGCTTCACTGGCAGAATAAAGAAAGAAGAGTAAATAGTTTGAAAATAAAATTGCAGATTTATAGTTACAGTGAAATGCACAGGCATGAAAGTGGCAAAGGGAAGGCTATGATGACGTGGTAAGTAAACAGAATTTAGTGGAGGAAAAAAAAGAAAAAAAATTATAGTTGGACATAAAAATATGGTTTTGCTTTACAGTGTTAGAAACACAATTTCTCTACCAAAGAGGCCTTTGTCAGACTGTGAGATCAAACAGCAAATTTTAGAGAAAGAAATTCTTTATTTACAATTTCCCACACTTGACTTACTTGGCAGTAGGTATGCAGAAGTATGTGAATGGAATAATGGTTTAAAGGGTTTACAAAGACTTGCATTGTATAATACATTTGTTAGTACCACTGTTGTGAGGATTAATTATAACAGTAATTTGAAGTAATACGTAGCTTAAGTGGTGTATATGTAAGTGTTACGGTATAAGGCATAATTTGAGGTTTCCTATTTTATGGGCAATTATACTCTGATGTTAAAAGTACTCTAAAGGAAAAAATTAAGAAGATATTTCTCAGAATATTGACTGTTAGGATTCTGACAAGAAATACTCGCTAGCTGTCAGACTGAAAATTATAATTCAATGTTTAAAGTTCAAATTAAAAAAGAAAAACACATAAGGAAGGGTGGGGTGTCAGTCTGTGATGACCTTTCCTCTTTCTGCTCTCCTCATTCCCTTTGTCTACCCTCTTTCTCCTTTGTGTGTGTTCTTTCTGTCCTACATGTCAGCATAGTTTGTGCCCCAGAATAGTTGCAGTTTATTTTTGTTTCAAATGGAAACTGAGAACTGGAGATGGAGTTGTTCTAGTATTATTAGATTCTCAGATAAAAGCCTTGATGTATTGTACGCATCAATGAAAATGGAGGAAAATGAATGTAAACATCTGAATTTACTCATTTTCTGTAACTTTAAAGAGTATTTTTCCCTATTTTCATCTTTTCTGAAACAACAGGAGATAACATCTGCTACTGGAAAACCAGGTAGCTCTTGTGCTTGGACTTCAGTGAGATTATACTATGGAAGTACAGTTTAGTAATCAAGAAATGAGTTTGCAGGGATCATGTAAATCACATTGCAACGAGTCAGATACACGCTCACTGTTTTATTATGTTTTTTATTATGAAACTTTATCTTTGATTAAAACTTTTTTCTGAGGATATCCAAACATTTTTCAAATAATTTGCTTGAGCAGCACAGCCCTACTTTTAGCTGTGTAACAGTTACCAATATTTTGCAGAGGTTAGTGTACTAATTTTCAAGGCCAAGTAGTCTGAAACGCAGGTCTCCCAATAATGCTCCTTTAATCAGTGGTTCAGTTTGCGGAACTATTTAATTTGTAATTCGTGTATTCTTTTTTTTTTATACAGATCCTCATCGAATTTTGTGCAGGTGGAGCAGTAGATGCAGTCATGTTGGGTAAATAAGTTGTTTCAAATAACAAATTTAAAGTTTTGAAATCATAATATATATATTGTAAGACTTGTTTCACATGTATATTTTTTTGAAATGCAAATATTTATGGAATTGGTGTGCTATGTGTATTGAATGTTGAGGTTTTTAAATTAGCATCTATACTTGTATCTATGGACATTATAACTTCTTAAGGTTAGATTAATTTTCTCTCAATTTTAAAGCATTTTATTTACTCTTCAAAACACATTAGAAGTCTTGATATAGTCTATTTTGTCTTGATCCTTTAAGTGAATGTGATGAGTTGTTCTCATATGCTTATGGAGCTCTCTGTTGTTATAACATAATCTGTGTGACCCCTTTTCAGGATCTCATTCTTCCCCTTCCCCTGCCATCTTCCAGATTACGTTGTAATAATTTTTTATGTTGCATCAGCCTTAAAATCAGATTTTTCTATGCTTATTTCACAAATTAGGTGAATATTAATGCCAGTAAGTAAAGGATCTAGTCTTTAACATCTCTGTGTACCATACAACAGAACCACTCTCTAAATTGTATAGCTTTTTCACAGTTCAGATAGGTAGCTATACATAGTTCATAATGAGGAGGGTTTGGGGTACAGGGGGCAAAATTTTTACTGAAAGGAGCAAATATCTTAAGATGGAAGTTTTTCTGACATGATCTTGAGAATCTGTCAGATAAATTAGTTTTCACATATACCTCTATACTGATTGCTATGAACACATAACAACATAAAATGCAAAAATGTGTTTATTTCTGTCTCTTTCTCTTGTAGAGCTTGAAAGGCCATTAACAGAGCCACAGATCAAAGTGGTATGCAGGCAGACACTGGAAGCATTGAACTACTTGCATGAAAATAAGATCATCCACAGAGATCTAAAAGCTGGCAATATTCTTTTCACATTAGATGGAGACATTAAACTAGGTAAGCATGTTGCATGTAGAAGTCTTTCCCAGAACTTTGCATGGTCTTATAATTGCATTTTCCTTAGGCTGTAGTTTGGCAGAGTTCAGTATTGAACTCTATATCTATTGAAGTATCAATCTAACAATGAGAGCTTCTTCAGATGCAAGTGGTTTGCTGCTATGAAAAAAGACAAAAAAAAAAAAAAGCTTGAGTAAATGTCCTGACTGTACTTGGCACATCCTTCAGGCTTCAAAATCAGCAGGGGTAGGAGTCATCAATATCTATACCAAGCGTCCTAAAGGCAGACACAGGTCCTACTGTTTCTTAGTATAATGTTCTTAATTATACTTCTCTTTACTATGGTAACATCAGAGCTTCCCTTTGAAGTTGTTGTTTTAGAAAATGAACATCCTTGACAATCGCCAAAGACCAGTACCTAGTACTGTTATGTCTTCCATTATTGAGAGAGAGAGAGAGAGAGAGAGAGAGAGAGAAGTAATAAGTAATTACTCAGCTTAGGTTTTCCATGCCTTTTTTAGTTGTTTGTGGCACTGAAATTAAGATAGAACAGCCTGGAAGAAATTAATACAAGCTAACTAATGTTGATTCCTGGTTTTTTGGTATGATTTTAAGTAGTTATCCACATTTTCTCTCTGATGTAGTAGGGAATCTATCAGGATTCCTCCATGAAGAACTGACAGAGGTGGTGAATAGCATCCCTTCATTCAGTCAGGAAAAGATAGGAATTATCTGGATCCACTTTGTTCAGGGCTTTATCGGGGCAAATGTGTATAAACTGTCAGCCTTTACCGTGGGTTCCATGACGTAGCAGCTTGCGTTCAGGTTTCAAAATCTTTTCTCTGTGGACTGTGTGATCAGTTGTATTTGTTTGGATGCAAGTTACACAGGGGGTAAAAGGTAAGGAAAATCAGAAGATCACCACAGTGAACTGGGGCTCTAAATTCCCAGCCTTGCTACAGATGTTCCTTTTAAATGTAAGGAAGACGTGTCTAAATTCCCATATAACTACTGCCTAACCTGTATTGATCACAGTGTCTCTGCAAGGTATAGTGCATCATCTCTGTTGAGAATATTTAAGAACCTGCTTTGCTACATTGATCAGTTCACTGTATCTGTGCTTTTTGCATGGATCCCCTTGCACAAGATTATTACTTGAACATGTAATATTTGCATGTGTCTTTCTCTTCATCTGCAAGGTACGGGTAATTTTACTGTTTTGCCTTTTCTTGGAAGCCTGAAGATTTAGTGATGGACTCAGTCTCATAGGCCTTATAAATGTAATAAAACCACTATCTTAGTTTCTTAGTACTGCTGTAGAAGAAATTACAGATCATAGCAAGAGTCTCATGGTCAGAGAGAGAATCATTTGTTTCTGTTCATTTTATTTGCCTCACATGACCTGGCTCCTTCTCATACAGACTGGAACTATTTTAAGATTTTTGTCAAGCTTAGCTGATATACAGTGCTATGCAGGCTGTCAAGATACTACTTTACAGCTCAGACCACAGGGAAATTTCTTCCACACGTACATTTAGTGATGTATTCAGGTTTGCTAATTAAGATTTCTAAAAAAAAAAAAAAAAAAAAAATAATTTACTTTAGTTTTGAGAAGTGTACAGCATCTCTTTCAAGAGCATTCTACTCCTTTTAAACTATTTGTATTTTGATCTGGTACACACAGAAATGGGCAATTCCTTCTTGTATAAATATGGGAATGGCAAATGAATTTCCTTCATTGCATTTTACTTGTATAAGGATTTGAGTTTTATTATTTCAGTATCTGTAGTCCCTTATGATTTCAGATTTTGCATTTGAACAAGTAGCTCTCTTAGTCCTTGCTTTTTTTTTCCTCGGAGCAAAATCAGGCTTCTCAAGTGTTGAGCCCATCAAGTAATTTTGTACAGATTAAAGACAGCAACATATGGCTATTTTGCCCCTTTGCTCTAATCTCTAGATTTTCATTAAGAAAGTTACATCTATAATAAGCATATAACACTTATTTAAATGTTGTCTTTTTTTCTTAATGAGAAATGTAGTGCTTTATAGACAAGTAATATTAATTGCAAAGATAAAGTTGATTTCTGGTTGGATGTTACATCAAAGGTGCATATGCAAGCTTTCAGATATTTAATATAAAGTGAAAAGTCATGTGGAAAGAAACCTGTAAGATAAAGGGAAAGTGTAGCTTTATGAGAATTTGAATCCTGAAATTAAAAATTGGATGATTTGTTGAATTAATGACAGCTAATGCCATGTCTGAGGAATACAGCCTTCATAGGCTAAGGAAACTATTTTCTACTTAAAATAATTTAAACCACTTATTCCTACAATAAATACATGCATTACTCTTGTCCCACACAACTCAACAGTGGCATTACTTTTTTTTAGCAATGGAGAATAATGTTTATTCAATATCTTTTATTAGAAATGCTATAGAACCTTGGCATTCAGTTATCAAAACACAGATATTTTTGTCTCACTTTGAAGTTTTAATACTGCAGAATGTTTGCTCTGGAACATATAAAATTTTAAAAGACTGCTGTAAAATATAAAAATATAATATGTTTTCCACCACCCAGTTAATAGCATTTTACTGTTTGCTTTAAGCGGATTTTGGAGTATCAGCTAAAAACACAAGAACAATACAAAGAAGAGATTCTTTTATTGGTACACCATATTGGTAAGTGCACTGTTTTGATGACTTTTTAGTATGAACGAATATCTTAATATTACCTTTGTTGTTAATATTACAAGCTTGATGCAATATTGTGTAAGTATGTTAAGTGAGAGTAGAAAGTGCTTCTTGAAATGCTTCAGTTAATTTATCTACTTAGAACTTTTTTCAGAACAGAGGAGAGTGCATTTTTCTAATCTAGTACTTCATTATTCTCTTTGCAGGATGGCTCCAGAAGTAGTAATGTGCGAGACTTCTAAAGACAGGCCTTATGATTACAAGGCTGATATTTGGTCTCTTGGCATTACTTTAATAGAAATGGCTCAAATAGAGCCACCTCATCATGAATTAAATCCAATGCGAGTGCTTCTGAAAATAGCAAAATCTGATCCACCTACATTAGCACAGCCTTCAAAATGGTTAGTATTTTACTTGCAACTTTCCCACCCAGTTTGTAGATTTTGAGTATGAGGCATGCCAAGTTGTCTATTTGCTGAACTTAGGTTCATGGGCGTAGATTGACCTGTTGAACTTTATGGGACTAGCTTTATGCATAGTCAGGTACATATTCTATATATGTTTGTTTGTATATATATACACACAGAGATATATGTATCTCCTCATACAATTGGGACTATGGTATTTTTGTCATGGTTCTGTATAGCAGCTTTTATACTGAAATATTGTGCAGATTTTGCATTAAAATGTATGCAAAATAGCTTTTTACAAATGCAGTAAAAGATCTAAAGAACATCTGAAAAAGAAAACATTTTAAAGAGCCGTTATCTATTTGGTCGTTTTAATATCTTTATGTGATTCAGTGATATAGCAGATGTGGTGTATTACAAATCCAGAGCCAGAAGTAGACTCTTCTATAAACAGGCAAACATTTCAAAGATTGTATTTGTGCCACATTGGTCTTGGCGTTTCTGTACTATCTTTGTGGTTTCCTAAATCAATAGAAGGACCTGGAGTTGCAGTGTAGATGCATGTGAAAGCACAAGAGTATTTCACTATATGCTAGTCTGCTGTCAAGACGAAAGAAGAACCACTACATGTTTGCTTTTTGTGTAGGTCATCAGATTTTAAAGATTTTCTGAAGAAATGTTTGGAAAAGAATGTAGATGCAAGGTGGAGTGCAACTCAACTTCTACAGGTAGGAAGAGTTAATTGTTCAGAACTATTGTTTAAAGGCAAGCGTATTTTGTATTTTTTAAAAGCAGAACAGTTTTATAGTAACTATTTAAATAATTTCAAATTAAATGTTCTTACATGATCTGCTTTTAACATTGTTGTATTGGTCCTAATTTGGTAAAATCTGATTAAATGATACCAAGTGCAGATCAAATTATTTGTTTAGTTGTTTTGATGCAATATAACTAATTACTTTGCATAAGTATTTATACTTTGATACTTATAATGGATGAAGGGGATATTTACATAAGTAGTCAATTGCTGACAGGTGTTTTAAAAGCTTTAGTGCTCAGCCTTCCTCTGTAATGCTGTCACTGCAGAATAGCTAAACAGGAGTAGATGTGACTAGGTACACTTGATTCTGTTTAACGTCAGCATGCATTTACTTTATCCAGAATACATCCGGCATATGTTGAATAGATTTAAGCAGCAGGGCCAAACAGAGAAATAAGATTCAGACAGTAGGAGAAGAACAGGTAGCTGTTTCCTCTGAAAGAAAAATGTAGAATTCTGTATTCTTGTTAGGAAAAATTGTTCTAAAGACAAAGCAGATTTTTTTCTAGAAAGAATATTTTTAGATAAAACTTATCAGAAAATAACTTAACTGTGGAACTGAAAAGAAATGAAACTCGTTTCCAGGAAAAATAACCTTTTAAAAAATCTTTCTACTTCTGTTCTTTGGGTGGTGAAACAGGTCAGTATAAATGAACTATTTGTATTTTTAGCAAGTTTGTTAGAATACTTACACAGTATATTTCAATACAAATGTTTTGACTTTAAAACTTGTGCAGAAAAATATACATTAGGACAGTTATGATTATTGTTAACTGAATTTTCAAGTTTGAGAGAACCAAAGTAACATTTCTCTGAAGTTATATTTCTTTCAAGTTATGATTTTCTCACTGTGTACAATGAAGTCCACACTTAATATTGTGCTTATTTTTTATTTTCACAAGCATCCGTTTGTTACTGTTACTTCCAATAAACCAATAAGAGAATTGATTGCAGAAGCTAAGGCTGAAGTTACAGAAGAAGTTGAAGATGGTAAAGATGAGGATGAAGAAGAAGAAACAGAAAATTCTCTGGTCAGTTTAAAATTTACTTTTTTAAATATGCAACTAGTTTCAATCACCATTTTCATGCGGAGAACTCAGTTTCTGGTGTACTACCCAGCTCTTGCATCAAGTCTTCTAAGAATAACAGCATAAACCTACTGTAACCTTATTACAAAATAAGTAGCTGGCATTTTAAACTTTGCATGTTCTTAAACTCCTTAAGAACTAATAATAAATAATATTATCTAATAAAGAATATTATCTTCATTTATTTCTACATGTATATGTAGTATAGAATTTTAAAAATCACATACTGATTTTTAAATAAATGGTTTAAAGTCAAAATGGCTAGATGAATGAGTAAACGTATAGTTGTATTCCATGAGATGCTTAAAACATTAAGGAAGGTACCTGACCATTATTCTATAAACTAAGTTTGTGATTTTACAGCATGGCTGTCAAAGAAAACCAAAAACAAAAGCAAAGAAATCCCATATTTTACCAAGAGAGGAATGCATTTATGAATGTATTTCTAAAGATGCTTAAGAATCTTACAATGCAAATTCAGTTCCTCAAAGGGCAAAGCCATGAAGTCCAGTGATATGGTAATAGGTTGCAGAGTAGACAGGCAGTGTGCTTTCTGACTTAACTGGCTCAAGTGCTACACACATGGACAGTGACCAGTACCACCAGTAGCTGCCATTACCGCAGTGGTAACGCAGTCAAATGCATGTGCACAAGAAGCACACCTCCATTTCCTCCTCGCCCCTCACCACGCTAGTCACCTCCCCTGGCCCTCATACCACTTCCCATGTCCACCCCAGCAGATTTCCAAGCGTGCATTCTCACCAACTTCCTCCAGGATTTATTCTCTACCTCCTAAGGCATCACCCACCACCTCCCTCCACTAATTAGCTGCTAAGCCATCAGTCCCCAGAAGGGTTGCAGTGAAGTCCATCCTGTGACTCAATTTTAAGTGTCTCAACACAAGCAGCGGTTTAGGAAACTGTGAGGTAGACGCAGTTACATTATTTATTTGTGGTAGTTCTAAAAACTGCTTGGAGATCAACACTAAGCTTTTAGAACAATTGCATGAAGACATCTGTTAAATGCACTTCTGAATTAAAAGGAATTTTCTTCTGTATGCTTAGGAAAACCTTAAGGTAGGAAATGCATGATCAAACCCACGCTTGTTACAATAGCTAAGCTAGTATGTTCCCAATGGCAAATCAGAAACCTGATCTGCAAATTACAGGGTTCTGACAGTAAATACAGACAGAGATACTGCCATCACTGAAGACTGAAAAGGCAATTATAGTTAAATTTATAATTTATTAGTATATTCTTCTGTCTGTATGTAATCTGATAACATTCAGTCGTATTCCAGCAGTAGCAATTTCTACAGTTATGTAACTGTTTCTATTCTAGTTCTGTATTGCCACTTAATCAGATCTGCTGGAGGTTTCCACCATTTTAATGGAGTTTCACAGTGATTAAAAAAGACCAAAAAGTTTTCAGGCATTTTTAACAAAGAACACAAGGAAGGATATTCTTTTTGATGAAGCAGAAGTTGGTCTTAGTGCAGCACTAATAAATGCAATATTAACTAAAGCTACTCAGCTTCTTCCTAGGCAAACTACCACAGAGACGTGTCTTTCAAATCCAACTATAGCTGGGACTACCGGGGAACTGAACTAATTAAAAAAAAAAAAAAAAAAAGCAATGTTATTGGAAAAAGACTCTTGAAAAGTCTGTTAAGTGTGAGGCAGAGGGCTGACCGTGATCCCTTTTCCTTCAGTCACAGTATATTTTATTAAATTATGAGAGATGGGGAAGGGTTCTTGTGCAACTGTTCTGTTCAGAGCCTGTGTTTAGTTCATGAGCTTGTTCTATGTTAATACCAAGCGAGGTACTCAGAGATTATCAAATTCACATACCTCTGCCTGTAAATACAATATTAATCTCTATTCAGTTATTCTTCAATAGAACTGTGCTTTAATGAAGTTGGGAAATTATTAACTGTTATTAACTGGTTTTCTTCCTTTAATTTTTTAGCAGTTACCTGCAGACAAGCGTGCATCCTCTGACCTCAGTATTGCCAGCTCTGAAGAGGATAAACTTTCGCAGAATGCCTCTGTTCTGGAATCTCTTTCTGAGAAAACAGAAAGTAATGCAATTGAGGACAAAGCCAGCACTATATTTCCAGATGACAAAACAACTGGGGATGAATCTGAGGACATTAATTTTAGGAAAACAGCTGATATCATATGTGATACTTCTGTTGGTGATACAAAAGTGCAGAATGGTTCTGTGCCAACTGGTGAAGATGAGCAAGGCAAAATAGTGCCAGCTGAAAAGAATACAGAAAGCCTGGAAAAAACACATGAAGATATGGAAACCCAGAAGGGAGGAAAAGAACTTGATGTGGTAGCAAAATCAGAAATAAAGGGTGAACCTGACCTAAAAATAGAGAAAGAAAATTACATGGGAGATGAACAGATAAAAGATAAGAAGCTGAAAATAGTATCTACAACTGAAGTTGAAGAAGCCATTTCTAAGGAAACTGGTGAAAAAGAAGAGAACAGAACAGATCTCTCAGAAATTAAGGAAGGAAAGGTCCCTGCAGAAAGTACTACAGAGCAAAAGAAAGATGAAGATCAGAAAGAGGTGATAGACACTACTACAGAAACTCTACCGAAAGTGGCTGATGAAGAAAAGGAACTAATAAAGCCTGGAATTGACAGCATTAAGGAGATAGGTGATATTGCTGAAACACAGATCAGTGATGGAGATAAAACACCTGAGACGGAGGATAAGCCAGTGGAAAGTCAGGCTAAGCAGGTCCATGAGATAATCAGCTCTGAAGAAACTCTACCAGAAAGCCAAGATAAAGCGATCAAAGTAGACAAGAAACAGGCAGAAAGTGAAAATGAGGATATTTGTAATATAAGCAGCATGGAGGAAACGGAGATCAAAGACAAGGTAGACCAGAAGGCAATACAGAGCAAGCCTGAGGACATTTCCAATAAAGTGGTGGATAAACTGACTGATATGGACCAAAATTCAGAGGAGCACAGACCTGAGAATATCCAGGAAAACAATATTCAGATAGACAAAGAACATTTGGAAGTTACTTCTGATGAAATAACGAAGAATAAGCTTCAAGATATTGTCAATGAACAAGCTGATGACTCTGAAGTCACTCCAGTCCCCAGTATTAGTATTAGCACCGAAGAAAATGAGGAGAAAGTCAGAACAGATAATAAAGATAATACCGAAACTTTGCAGCAGCTAGAATCAGAGAATTTGAAGGAAAACGATGCAGATTCAGGCACTGGTTCTACAGCTGATAACAGCAGCATTGATTTGAACTTGTCAATTTCTAGTTTCCTTAGTAAAAACAAAGAGACAGGATCAATATCTTTACAGGTAAGTATAAGCAATCATATATTTTTATATAAAATCCTATGTGAGTGTGACCCTAAAATTATCTCCAAATTTGACCTTTGCAACATAGAAAATGGAGTGAGAAACTAGTATGACTGCATGGAATATAACACTGAAATATTCAAAATTGCACGCTCTAAAGACGTCTGGGTTTTGTGCAGTTATGCGGCAAAGCTAGAAGCTACAGAGCTGCTAATTATTTTATTGCACAATTGTATTTTAAAAATGTAGACTAACTATTAAAGGTGAAGATTTCTGAATGGTTGTAGTTCAGAGATGATATTCAAGAATAGTAGTTCAATGCCTTATTCTGCACAGAATCCACATTTAACAGGACAAATCTCTTATCTAATCTGGTATTGAATTCCTGTCACTTCCATCTTCTGTCTCTCTGTTTAGATTTAAAAGATCTAAGGCAGACAGTGTCTCCAGTTTGCTTATTCCAAATGCTGTACTCCTATGATTATAGCCGTAATAGAATAGTAACTGTATAACCAAGGGTTTGAAGAAAAAAAAAAACACACCTAAAAAACAAACAAAAAACCACCAAATAAAAATCATCACTTGGCATAGCTGTGCCAAGCATGACTTCACGGTGTTTGCAGTAGCCCTAACACAACGGAGACGCAGTTTCAGCTGGGGTCTCTCTTCTCTTGTAATGAAACAATAGTAGCTCTGAGAAGTGAGATTTCTCCAATTCTGTCGGCCACATCATGACATGATTTTTGACTAATACATATGAATAAAAATTTAGACTTGCTCATTTAATTTATTTCCAAAGTAGAAGTAAGGAGGTGAGTAAATAGCTGTTCTGTTTCAGTACTGTTTTTCAGAATTAAATATCTTTTTTTGGTGATTGGGAAAATGATGGTCAAAAGCAATTGCAACTGCTCAGCGCTTGAAAATAAAACTGCATCAGTTCTGTTCAGGGTTTATCTAGATTATTTTTTTTTCTTCTGACAATTTAGATGATCAATAATTACGGTTTTCCTTCGCTGACCAGAGAAACCAGTTTCAGTACATTAGAATTTTTGAAATTCTCACTTGATTAGCAAGGTAGCTGATAAGTGAGAAGAACTCCTGACTTTTGAAGTAATTTAATATTAAGCAAAAAAGGAAAAAAGGATACGACTTAAGTAAGTACAGAATAACTTACCAATGCTTTATTCAGGAAACTAGAAGACAGAAGAAAACTTTAAAGAAAACTCGCAAGTTTGTTGTTGATGGAGTAGAAGTGAGTGTAACCACATCAAAAATAGTCACTGAAAATGACTCTAAAAGTGAAGAAATGCGATTTCTACGGTAAGTGTTTTTAAAAGGAAAATTTACCAAAGGTTAGTAGCTAATTTTTTTAGCCTTTGAATAAAAGAAGGGGGGCGATGATCTTCTGTAATATTTGGGGATTAATTTCAATTATTTTGTTAGTAGAAAGGAAGGTGAAGTGTTTCTTAATAAGATAGTCAATTCAAAACTAGTTTTACTGGACCTAAGTTGTGTAGATGCTTTTTTCATCTTTTGTAATTTTCCACTTCTTTTGTTTTTCCATCAATATTAAGTGTTCTTTTTCATTATTAGACGTCAAGAGCTAAGAGAGCTAAGACTTCTTCAGAAAGAGGAGCAGAGAGCCCAACAGCAACTCAGTAATAAGCTTTTGCAGCAGCGAGAACAGATGTACAGACGTTTTGAACAGGAAATGACAGTGAGTTTCTGGATTTTGGTGCTCTTAGAATATGACACCTTGATGGAGTAGGCAGAATACTGCTAGCAGCAATCAGGTGTTTCCTTTTATGATGGCTATAGCTTAGTTTTCATTCTTGTTAATAAATGGCAATATTTTCCATTGTGGGGTGCCCAGCTTGTATGTTATAGCTCGCCTGCCAGAACAGTTCATCATGGCTATCCTTGGCTGTGGTACAGCACTTCACTGAACAGAATTTAGTTTTCTAAGAAAAGATGCCAAATTATTTTTACAGAGTAAAAAGCGACAGTATGATCAAGAAATAGAAAATCTAGAAAAACAGCAGAAACAGACAATAGAGCGCTTGGAACAGGAACACACAAATCGTTTACGAGATGAAGCAAAACGCATCAAAGCAGAACAGGAGAAGGAATTGTCCAAATTCCAGAACATGCTGAAAAACAAAAAAAAGGAGGTAAGAGACAATAATGATAATAGAGAAAATAATGACTACGGGCATAGCAAACAGTTGAGATTAGGTCTCCCAGAGCCTTGTCAACCTCATGTGCTATACTGAGTCGTGGAAGGGTTGCTAGCAGTCAGTATTATTTCTTTTGTTGTACTGCCTAAACTGAAATACAAACAGCTAACGGGTAGGTTTAGATATTGACTTATTCTAGAAAGCATCATCAAGTTTGAAGACTTTATTTTTCACAGAATCTTTAATAAACTATTTTCTCTCAAATATTAAATCAAGAAAAAGTATTTGCTTAAAGATTGTGAAAAGTATTTGAGATTCGTACTTCAAACAAATCCAGCTATAGCTACTTAGTAAATACTTATTTAATAAGAATTTCAAAGAAAAGAATATGGTCTTGATTACTACTGAGAACCACTTAAGTTTCAGAGGTGATTTTTTTGTTAATTTGTTAGATTTTTATTGAATGTGTGCTGTTGTTGTTTAGAATTTCTTTATACGATGTGACAGCAGTTATATGGATTTAGTTTTTTAATTCAAAAAGGAAAGCCAGGAGAGAAAAGTCTGGATAACCTGAAATCTCTTAGAGTTAATTTCATGTGTGTCATACAGTTAAGGCAAAATGAATGACATTTGACACTGACACTTTGTGCTATTAGTTTGTTTGCATTAGAGTAAGAGAAGGTGAAGTGTTTCCATATGGATTTGCATCTTAAAAGCTGTTTTACTTCATTTTCAGATCAATTGTGTAGCGCTCGTTTGTGTATAAACGGCTCTAGTGTTTGCTCTGATAGTTACTAGACTCAGAGATTTCTTTAGAAATCTGTACTGTCCATGCTTTTGCATAGAATGATCCTGTAGTACAAAAGTGCATAAAAAAAAAATAAGTTATATTCAGTTTGAACCGTATGCTCATATGTAAATAACAATTTTTCTTCTTTTGTGGTACCTCTTGCATTTTTGAGTCTCTCTCTATTTAACTGGTGATTGGGTCCTACATGGGAAAGCGGGAAGAATTTTACGTATTGCTCTGAGCTAAAAGCAGTTCTTTCATGGAAACAGGAATAGCATGTGGTGATTTGGACTCTGTTTTCTGATGATGCTTCCACTACTAAACAAACAGGCATTTGTTTTGGGGTGCATAGTTTTGTATTTAAAGCTTGAGAAGGCGATTTACAGTTTGAAGGAAAATGCAGCTGGTGTTCTAAAACTACCCATGCTATATTGGAGTGTGCAATGTTACATTTTTATAATTCTTAAAAATAAATAAGACATCAGCAAATTAACAGATAAATAGTCAGTTGATTTAACCAGATTATATTTAGAATCTTTCTACTAAGCTAGTCTAATTCACCTTGGACTGAAACACGTTCTGTTCCAGCATACGTGTCATGAAAAGTTTCTTGAAAACATACGTAGGTATTGTTGGGTTTTGCTTTTAAATTCTTCAGAACCAAACACAGCCAATTAATATTTTGTTTGCTTGTATGATTATTTTAAAGACATAACCTGTGTAGATGTCATTTATGGTCGGAGACACTAATAATGGCATCTTACAAATTCATGTTTGAGACAAGTGGTAGCAATAGCTCGTTTTCAGTGGAAGTTATTTTAAACTTCCGACCATTTTTCACAGTTTTACCATGAAGTAAACGTACTCTGTAGTCCTTTTGCCATAGTGCTTCGAGAAAATACCACTTTTGCAGGTGGTGGTTTTCTTAAGTATTGACTATTTTAGCTGCTGCATGAAAACGCAAGCAAGAGACTGCCATTTCTGAGAGCACTGGGCAGCATTTGCATGCAAAAAGAGGCTGTCCTATACCTCCTTTCTGTGCTTTGCTGGCCTACATAAAGCACCTATTGTTCCTTCTCTTCCCACTGAACTAACATCCCTGCCACTGAAGTAATGCATGCTTCCCAATACCTCTAGTGCTTGACCTGCATCTCCTATGTTCACAGTAATGCTTGCTGTGGGAAAAAGTGTTCTTTTCGCCACCTTCTGCATGCTTATATACACTGTAGGTTTTATGTGAAGTGGAGAAAGCACCAAAAGAGCTGAGAAAAGAGCTCATGAAACGCAAGAAAGAGGAGCTTGCACAAAGCCAGCATGCTCAGGTAACAACAGCAGCTTCAAGCTACTAAAATACAAAGGGCAGCAGTATTCACACAGCTTGATGATTTCACTTCTTGTTGTTGTTGAGTGAATATGGAACTTAACTCAAACTAACCCTACGTACTGCTCTCTTTCTTCAAGTACTCCTGTATCACATCCCATAGAGTACACTGTGTAGAAATGTAGAGCAGCAATTTCCAGGTTTGTGCTGTTAAGCCTAATATTTTGTATGCTGCACCGAAAAAAGAACAGTATTTTTCTATGGCAGGTTCACTTACAGTGCCTTTACGAGTGGTAAGTACCCCATAGGTCTGTCAAATTATAAAGGTTACAGTCAGAAGTAAGTTTTGAGCAATATAATCGCAGGGGAGGAAAATTTATGTAATATGTAAGCATGGGGCATCTTGTTCGGGGAAGCAGAACAGATTAGGTAAAGTGAAGTTATTTAAATGTCAGAGTGTAGGTGTATGGAAACTTTACAAGACATCGTCTATAATTTCACGCCTTTAGACTTGCTGCTTTTATATGACCCAGCTAGAAAGGGGGCTACTATTTCAGAAAAATGCTGGCTTTGTGATGGCCACAGCTTGTACAGAGTGAGTTTGCACCACGGAAGAGCAGGTTTGGATTGAGTAATTTAAAGATTAAATGTTTGTGAGTGACCTAGTAGAAAATAATAGCAACTTTATTCGATTACGTGTTTAATTCCAGAGGGGATTTCCCAGGATAGAATGTGATTTGAGTTGCAGCACTCTCCCCGTATCAAAGATATGTGACTGAACTTTTTAGGGAAGCAATTAAATACCTAAATTTTCATAGTGCTTGTAGTGACTTAGTTTGTTTCCTTTGCTGGTTTCAATTTGTTGAAGTAAGGGAAGTGAAAAAGACAATTTTAAGGGTGAAATATCCTTACTTGGAATGATAAGTACTAGATAAGGTGCAGATGTTTAGTTGTAGAATATCTAGAACCTCTGTCAGTGACTACTTTTGTGTGGTTAGCCTTGACATTTTAAATGTGTATTACTAACATACAGCAGATCTCATTTCTTCTTTTTTTTTTTTTTTTTTGAGAACAAAAGTATATTTCATTATATTCTGACATAGGAAGTACATTGTGTCCCACAGGGCGTTGCTCAGGTTATGATTCAGTCTTTTCAGTTGTCTTCATGTACACTTTTCAACGCACAAATGCAGGATGTAAGTCATAAAATGCAAAGCAACAAAAGTTTTATTTCCCTAATTTTCCAGACGTGTTTTCTCTTCTTTGTCTGCTCATATGTGCTGATCAGTGCCACTGCTAACTCCAAACTACTTAGCACAAATTTATGTAATTATGTACTATTGATAGTAAGGAGATCAAAGTTACAGTAGTTATTAACTCTGGGCAAGACACTGAAGTTTCACACAAATGCAATATAATGCTGTTCTCTGGTGTTTATTATTTGTTCAGCACATGTGAGAAACAATGTGTGACTTCTGTGCTGTGTGTGCGGTGAAACCATGCGTTTTAAAGATACCTGAGTTTATTTTAAGATACTTATTGGGCAAAACCAAGTGGTAATTTTAAAAAGGTTGACTGTCTTGCACTGTCTGCCTTTTAACCATCCAACGTGTTCTTTAGTAAAGTCCATGACCTTTATTATATGCAATACTCGAGTAGACATGGGAAGTGGAAAGGCCAGAGTGTTTTCTGACATTGCCTGCTTTACCTTACAGTGCTAGCAATTCTAAAACTTCTTAAGATTTATCATGTAGGGAGAACAGCAACGATATTTAAATGATTGAGTACAGCTCAAGCATAATTGCTTTTTGACCGTGGCTACACTAGAACAGCTTTCCCCCTCCAAATCAAAAAATTCCTGGCAAATTAAACACCATGTTAGTTATGTGTCTTCACCCTCAGAATAATAAACTTGTAGTTTTCTTATCCTTTTCATCTAGAAAGGGAAACAGAACAGTATTTTTCATCAGTCCATATATTTGATTAGGTATGTCTGATTTAATTTATGGATGTGGCCTTCCAGTTCTTTTTGTACCCTCAGGTCTGTCACTGTTAGAACTTTGCACCAGCTTACTCTGGTTTTCTGTTACCTGTCTGACTGCACTCTGCTGTCCACCGAGAGAGATGAAAGCCTCATCTATTAATAATTTCTGTGACGATGAAAACCAGGATTCTCCTGGTCATAATAAAAAGTATTTTTAATGAACATTTAATTCCATGTCTTGCTGACAGCTCTTTTAGCAAGTAGCATGGGTTCAGTAAAAAAACAAAATACATAGCTCAGGAGGCCCTTCCACTGATCATCTGTAGCCCAATACTGTTTTCCTGTCTCATCCCATCGCCCTTCCAGTAGACCATCTTTAACGTTGCTTTGTTACGTGTAACAGCAAATGCTTCAGCTGCCCACCTTGGCTCTGCCATCTTCCTTTCTTCTGACCTTTATATCATGGTAGAAACATCTGCTTTAATTTCTTGTTCTTAAAGAGTGTGTGTGCATGCTTGCATGCTTTTAGATGCTTTTTTTTTTTGATAGTTGCAAAGAAGAAAGGCAACAGTATGGGCTTTAGGGCATGGGATGGGGATTCTTACTGCTGCCTGCCTTTCACGATGTGATACACCCTGGATAATGGGAAGATGCAGGTGATATGGGGACTGCATCAGGCGGATGGCAAATCGCTTTGCGAGGAGCCAGCTCAGCTCTGGTGTGACAAGCTTACAAGTCCTGCGGAATGCAGTTCCTGCGAAAACCATTGGGTGTCTTCATAGCAGCCTTGCAGAACTCCCAACCTCAATATCTTTGCCTTCACGACAAGATAAACCACTCGAGATTGAGAATCAAATCCGAAACACAACTGTGTAAATAAATAGGCTTTAACTAATCAACTGAAGCAAAATAACCACACATACTTTTATTTACTTACACCTGTGAATAATTAACCCTTGATATGATCAGATCAATTTTATATTGGTCTTTGCTAGCTCTGAACCTGCAGCTTGTTTTGAGGAGAGACAAGAGAGGGAATGAATTGCAGATGGCTGGCTAGTTTGTTGCCTTTGGTCTTATTTCTGAAGGTACTATTTAACCATTAAATATTCTCTTACCTACTCTCTATGTAGAAAATACAGGAGATGCATAATGGTATAGCTGAGGCATGTTAGCTCAAGTTTTCATAGATGTATTTGTTTTCGTATCTAGCTAATGCTGAGAGAACTGGGAGTTTCATTAAAATGTAATGTGGTTAGAAGAACACAATTTAATTTACTTCTATTGGTTTTTACCAGGAGCAGGAATTTGTGCAAAAGCAGCAACAAGAACTGGATGCATCTCTGAAGAAAATTATTCAGCAGCAGAAGACAGAACTAGCCACTATTGAACGAGATTTCCTCAACAACAAGCAGCAGCTCATGAGAGGTATCCAGTGTCAGACTCTCTTTAAAAACAGACGTTTGTGTTCTACTTTAATAAAACAATAGTCCATCTTAAATTCATGAAATCAAAGACCTTCATGACTAATCTAGAACTGTAATAAACACACATGCTATAGAATAGCATTGTTCTTAAAATGTACTTGTAGGCCACTTCTAAACATACACTAGCAGGTAGATTAGAAAGTACGGTATTGTACTTTCTGAACCAGCATTCCTCTTTTTTTCCAGCTCGCGAAGCTGCAATCTGGGAGCTGGAAGAGCGACACCTACAAGAGAAACACCAGCTCCTCAAACAGCAGCTCAAAGATCAGTACTTCATGCAGAGACACCAGCTGCTTAAGAGGCATGAGAAAGTGAGTGTTGCTTTTGACACTTTCTTCTGTGTATTATAATATCCGGGGGGTTTTTATCAAGTAGTCTTATGATCTCTACTGGTAGCTGTTTGCTTGCACAGTCAAGACCCACACAGGTGTTTTGAAGCTGTATAAGTTCTGTTGAAATACAAAAATCTTAATCATCTTACTTTAATAACTTAGTAGTATGTGGATGTATAAGTGGTCATATTTGTCCCCTTTGATTCTTAGGAAAAAAAAGTAACAATCATAACATCAACCTTTTTCTATTAAAAATACCACATTCTGCTTATACACCAAAACCAGTTTTTGCTTGCATTTAAATAAATCTAATCATTAGTAAATCATCCTGGAATTAATTGAACAGAATGAACTGGATTAGCTTTTGGGCAAGTAGCTGACAACTGTCTCTTTATAGCTAAATCCTATAAAAGACCAGAAGACAATGCTTATTTTCCACAAGGCATTTTGTTTTTTAGAGAATACATGAAACAGAATAATTTTTGAAATTGTAAACCCAATAAAAAGATACTATGGGATCTCCTTGGTGATTGGAGCAGGAGCAGCCTCCAGTGAAGGCTTCTCTCTGCACGGTTTGGTTTATACCCATAACGGCTGTTGCTTTCACCAGCTTTTGCAACAAACTGACCCTTTCCAGCTGCAGCAGTGGAAGCTCAGTTCCACAAAAGTTTCTCCCTTTGAATAACACAGGCTTTTTAAAACGCAACTCAGGAGTTGAACAACAAATATATGTGCCTTCATGTTCATTAGAGAATTTTATCTGGATGGGCATGATCCAGAGTGCTCTGGAATAAGTGGAAGACCCCTTCCTCCCTGTTGATATCACTAGGGCTGGGACTGGCTTCTGTTGAAAGAAGCAGACTCAAACAGCATGCTCATTGATGAAATGAGATGCAAAACTTCTAACATAATATTTACTCTGTAACATTTCCATATGGTTAATGTTTTAGGAAACGGAACAAATGCAGAGATATAATCAACGCCTTATCGAGGAGTTAAAGAACAAGCAAACTCAGGAGAGAGCGAGACTGCCTAAAATCCAGCGAAGTGAAGCAAAGACTCGAATGGCTATGTTTAAGAAAAGTTTAAGAATCAACTCATTAGCTTCTCCAGACCAAGATCGTGAGAAAATTAAGCAGGTAGTTAATAAAAACAGTTTTAATAGTGTAAGTGCTTAATGTGATATAAATGTGAGGATGGGATAGAGTGCGCTCTCAGCAAGTTCACAGATGGTACAAAACTGGGTTGATGCACTGGATGAGGTCAGAGGAAGTCATCCTTCCCCTCTGCACTGGTGAGACATGTCTGGAGTGCTGGGTCCAGTCCTGGGCTCCCCAGTACAAGTCAGACATGGATTTACTGGAACGAGTTCCGCAAAGGGCCTTGAAGATGACTGAGGGGTCACCGGTGGGTCTTGTTAGAGGAGGAGAGGCTGAGTAGCTGGGGTGCTTCAGCCTGGAGAAGAGAAGGCTCAGGAGGATACTATCCATGTGTCTAAGTACCCAACGGGAGGGAGTAAAGAAGGTGGAGCCAGACTCTTCTCAGTGGCGCCCGGTGACAGGATGAGAGGCAGTGGGCACAATGCAAATACAGAAAATCCAACTCAAACATAAGAAAACACTTTTTTAGCGTGAGGGTGGTCAGATCCTGGAACAGGTTGCCCAGAGAGGTTGGGGACATACTCAGAACCCAACTGGATGGAGGCCTGCGCAACCTGCTCTAGTTGACCGTGCTTTGAGCAAGGGGGTTGATCTTCGCAGGTCCCTTCCAACCGTTCTGTGAAATATTTTTAAGAATACTTGATTTTTGTGAGCTTTTGAACTACAGCTGTAGGTATTCACTCATTTTTCAAAAGGGAACGTTGTAAAGAGGTTAGTGATTTCCTTTGTACTGATGCACAAAAGTCCCGAATCTTGGTTTCATATGGTGAGTGCTGGAAGGATGAAAAATCTGGCAAATGGAGCCTCTGGTAGCTGTGTAAGACCAACCTTAACCAACACTTGCAGCAACACTGCTGAGTCACTTGGCTTCAGAGGGAGGTAATTTCAGGGGTCTGGAAGTGAAATGTGCAGGGTTTTAAGGAAAAGTTGGAGTGCAGACAGAGAAACGGAATGATAGCCAAAACTGTGAGGGCATTCCCTTTGTAAGGATTCTTAAAGAGTAACAAGAATACAGTTATTGGTTAAATCTTTTAAAACCATGCTTGTCAGTTATGCTGTTATGTATTCAGTCTGTTACATACAGTTTTTTGACTCATGTAGACTGTTGTATATAGAGGCACGATATAAACTATCGTTTTTATAATTTCAGTTTGCTATTCAAGAAGAAAAGAGACAGAAGAATGAGAGACTGGCTCAGCATCAGAAGCACGAAAACCAGATGCGGGACCTTCAGTTGCAGTGTGAAGCAAACATCAGAGAACTGCATCAGTTACAGGTTAAAAATAGATGATATTAAATGAGCATTCAGTGGGAAGACTCAGGTTAAGAACTGACGCAGGCAAAGCAGAAACGTATTTTCCTTCATTTTTACTGATTGGTGCAGGGTTTGTTTGTTTTTTTTTTTTCAACTTTGCATTCAAAGGCCTGCAGCATACTGCTTAACCCGATTCAGAGGCTTGCATCAATTAATGAGAAGTTATTTTACATGCAAGGGCACCATGAACCAGAAGCAGATGATGACTTCTAGAATGTCTGTCAAGTTCCCAGTGCTGTTGTCTGTAGGCAACATTTCCTTTTAACTTGATTTTGCTGCAGTGTCGTTAATCAGAACAGAGGTAGGCAGCACCAGGCACTACCCAGCAGTACGCGGAGTGAGGTGGTTTTTACAAAGTGCAGGCTGCCGTGTGCACTTGAGCTTCTGGAAGGAATTCTATTCTTGCGATAAGGATCTCTGTTTTGTCCCTTTGGGTATACATTTTGTAAAAGTTGCTGCTGTATAGCAGAGGCCAGACCTCCTTTTCCATTAAATCTGCTTTTCCCTGCTTCAGGGACACAGGGGAGTTATAAAGCATTAAATGATCGCCTGCTGATAACCTTTGCGTAGAGAAATCTTCCAGCGACCAATGAAGCCAGTTCTACACTATTCGCTTTCTTACACCCTGTGAAAACAGCCCCGACTATGCCGCTAATACTCCTCAGTAAATCCCCAAGTACCATGGGAGTCTTGTGAGAGTTTCAGCTTAAGTAATATTGAGCAGATTAGGGCTACTCTGAGCTTCGCTGAGAAAAATTGGCCCCTAGCTGCACTCAGGTCTCGCCAACTGCCTGTCGGTTTTGTTCCTCTGGTTTTGTACTCTGCATCAGACCCAGTTGGGACTGGATCCCTAGAAACAAGAACACGGGGATTAGAGACTGCCATTGCCAACTGCTCTTAAAAATCAAAGATTTGAGGTAGCCAAATGCTTAATTTTTTTTTTTTTTCTTACCATGCTTCAAAAGCCCTCTGAAAGTTGGGCAGATGGATATGTATCTGCCCGAGAGGAGTGTGAAGCTGATGTGTGGTTTGATTCTCCTTTTCCTTTTTATAGGGCAGTTCTGAGGCTGCTTCCGCAAGCACATCTCACTCCTCTCCAAGCCTCGTTTGTTATTCTCAGCTCCTTGGCACCAAGAGTTGAAATATTTCCAAAAAACGACCTCCTTTTTAATGTAACTGATTTTCATAAATTATCCAACCGGCCTTTAGAAAGCAAAGCAGAAATGCTGTATGACCTTGAAAAGCATTATTAGGCAGTGAAACACAGCCCTGAGTAACGCTGTCAGCTGCTGCCTTAATGATCCTCAGCAGTCTCTTTGGATTTACAAGTATTTCTTATCTCAATTGGTTCTGATGGAAAGATCAGCTTTTGATAATGCAGCCTCGTAACATACTTTTATCTTGTAATTATTCACGTCACTATTTACACGGAATAAGCTAATTAAAAAGGATTAGGACAACATATGTCGCTGTACAAACGTTAAGTTGCCTAATCTGAATTAGTTTTACATAAGGATTATCTTTATCTTGTTTTAAGAATGAAAAATGCCATCTACTGGTTGAGCATGAGACTCAGAAGCTAAAAGAGCTAGATGAAGAGCACAGCCAGGAACTGAAGGAATGGAGAGAGAAATTGAGGCCAAGAAAAAAGGTAAATCGAAGCAGTTCATGAATTGGAAAATAATCAAGAGTTGGATCTGGCAAACGCAGACCATACAAAAACACATTGCAGAGGAGGGGAATCGCGCTACTGTACAAAACTGCTGTAGTTCACTCAATAATAAAAGATGTTAAAAATGTGCAAAATCTGAGCAAAGAACATGTGCAACAGAAAAGGTTTGCGTGCTGTCAGCCTCTTGCGGTGTTCCCTCTTGCAGGGCTTCTCTGCCTGTTTGCACGTAAAACCTTCTCAGCTGGAGGTGAGTCTGGTTTTAGGAATGCATTTCAGAAGCCGGTAGCTTACTACAAAAACTGAGTGCTAAATTACAGAGAGAGGGGGGTGGAGGTTGGGTTTGGGTTTTACGCTTTGTTTTAAAACGAAAAGTACGAGATTGTCACACAGTCCGGAGAGTGGCCTGCAGGCAGCTGGTGTTCTTGGCTCGCTGTGTCCTGGTTTCTGTCTTGCAGTTTCATAATTGCAAGGGGGGGGGGGTTGTGATGGTGTATGAAGTTACAGCCTTCTACCAGACAGTACGTCACCAGCGTAACAGGTTTCTTGTACTTTGCATTGCGATCCTGTGACAATCTGATTTTGGTTTTAGACGCTGGAAGAAGAATTTGCCAGAAAGCTGCAGGAACAGGAAGTTTTCTTTAAAATGACTGGAGAATCCGAATGCCTTAACCCTTCAACACAGAGCCGCATTTCCAAATTCTATCCAATCCCCAGCCTTCACTCCACTGGGTCGTAACTCTGGGAACTGCTGTAGGTCTTTTCGTATTTGGAATTCTCCATCCTCATCGTCTAACCTGACTTAATCTGCGGTGTACGTCAAAGGACCTCGCGCTTTTTGTTTTCAGTGGAGACAATCAGTGTCACAATCGGTTTCTTTACTTCTTGGAACCGGAAGAAAAGAAAGAAGGTGTCAGTGTATAATGGTAATGTTACGTCCTCCAGATGTTTCAAGAAAAGTGGGGTTTTTTTATCTCAGTCTCAAAAAGTATGTTAACAATGGTTTTGACTTTAAGCCTAAAATATTAATTATACCCTTTCTGATCACAAAAAATGGCTTCTCATGTGAACGTTTAAACGGTGTAATATTACTTCTGCTACTGTGTTTTTAAGTGTCTGACTTCTCCACGAGAGAATTCCACACCTGAAACTGCCGAGAGATGTTTAAAACGTTGCAGTGTTGAGCAGTGTCTTCATGGCAAGGACTGAAACGAATTACTCGGAACACGCCAATGATCAGAAAAATAGACCCTTACGTTTAAACACGATCGGTAAAAGCAAAAGCCTTTGCAACTCCTTTGAAAAGAAACCTCTGGCATGAATTAAACTGAGCTGATCTCCGTGACATACTTTGTCCATTAGTTCCATAATGAAATGGGGTGCTAGTTTAATCAATACAGTGCCTGAAACACATAGATGCGCTAATCCTGGCAACAGGATACTGTTTTTGTCATTGAAAAAAAGCAAACCAACCACCAACAAACCACTCCTTAGCATTGTTGTTACTGTACAAACCAGAAGATTTCTTGCTGCTACTGCCATTTTTGTTGTAAATCCTCACCCTAAAATATTTTGCACTAAAATATGTAAAGGTGAAAGAGATGCTAACTTTAAGATGCACAGTTTATTATTTTCCTTAGCGATTGCAGGTGGTTAAGTTCTACACATTGAAAAGCTGTGGAATGTATTTTTTAGAAAGCGGCGTGCAACGTGCCCGTGGCGTCTCTAACTGGCCCTGGAATGGGCAGAGCCATTTTTCTGTTCTTACCAAAGCCTGTTCGTTTAAACTCCATCAGAAAAGTGGAGGTGGGTGGTCATATTTGTAAATAACCATGGCTAAACTCTGATTGGATTAGAAGTGTTTAGATTTGATTTTTTTTTTTAAATTTTAGTCATTTTATTTTATAGAAAGATTTAAGTTAAATATATAGACAAGCTACTTGGTGAAGCTGGGTTTTTTTGCTTTTTTGTTGCCACGTACTAACACAGGCAGTTTTTATTTTTCGGGTTCATAGATGTACAATAAGTTATTGATCTGCCTGATCTGCAGTGGAAAAAAAAAAAAAAACCAACCCTGAAACGTTTCTCATACAGCTGGTAGGGAAACGCAGCGGTAGGAGGTCACTTTCACTGCACTCTTTTTGGCGGCTAGAGTTTGAGGCACGTCAGGACAGTATCGTAAGCCGTGCTTTGGTAGGCTGGGGTTCAATTTGTAAAAGAGTATTTGCGTTCTGTCATTCGAGGCCTGACTTTCCAGTCCCTCTGGGCGTCAGCTGTAAAGGTTCTGTTTTGCCAGCTTGCGTTAAGCGTGCGACTGGTGAACGTTACACGGCGTTCGTTTCATGGGAACAGTATTGATGCGTGGGAATGAACTCATAAATCCACACAGGACTTTAAGCAGATGTGGCTGGAATCTTGGATGCTGAAATCCTTGGACGTTGAACCGCTACCTTCTCAATGAAGACACTTAAAATTTACAGCACAGTAAAAAAAAAAAAAAAAAAATTGGAAAAATGCATGTTTTAATTTAAATTTTCTAACTTTTTGATAGCATAATTACTTTAATAGCTAGCCTTAATTTCTGGCATTTTATTATCTAAATGTGTATTGCATACTGTTGTAAATTCACGTACCATATCTCTAGATTGTTGCTGAATGCAAAGTTCTTTAAATTGTTTATTTAATAGGGTGAAAAATGTCTTGGAAGGCCTTTTACTTCCTAAGCTCTATCATCATAAATTGACTGTTACTAAAATAACATTAAATAATCTTCATCTCTGTATTTAACAGAATCTGTGGGCAGTTTCCGTGTGAGGCAGGCTCTGTGCTTTACTCGGGGAGCAGCCGGGGCAGGCCCGTTTCCCTTCTGGATTCCTTCTCTACCTTCATCCGCATTCAGTCCCTGGAGGGAGACGTTCATCTTCTCCTCCCGTTTTTGGCGGTGTCGGTGATACCTTGCTGATACGCGTTGGCGTGCTGTTTACCTCTGTCTAATCTTTTAAACCTCTTCTTTGAAGATCCTTTTCACACGAGCCCCTGCAAGCTGATCTCGCTGCAAATTGTGCAAAGGAGGAAGTGGGCTCCGGGACGGAGGGAGGGCTCGGGCGTAGCGGTTGAAGCCCTAGCGGTGTTTGCCCAGCTCTCCAGGTGCGGAGCCTCGTGAATGGTGCTGAGGATTGATATCCAGCGTGGAAATGCGTTTTTCAGGGGGGATGACAGGAACAAGCGTGGGTACTTACACATTTAGGCTGATAAAATTGATTTAAGTATTGCAGAGCAGGGAAGAGGTGTACAATGTTAGATCAATGTCAGAAAAGTCAATTCAAATGGCTTTAGTCTCACAGAGGCCCGGAAGAGATCTCCTGAGATACAGAATCCAATCTCTCTGCTATCACACGTCACAGCCCTTAATAACAGCTAGGAGCTCCATCTCCAAGGCGGCCAGGTCTATGTTCCTTAGCCAAAGCAATGTACTTCCTTACCGAGCCTTTGCCAGACCTCAGTTTCCCCACGTGCCCTTCAGAAGATGACCGCAAGTTGGTATTTGCTCGCCCTTGCGTTTTACTGCGTCATAAACACTGTCCACAGGAAAATGAACAAAGGCAGTAAAATGGCATGCACGACTGTGCATTTTGGTTGTCCTCTCCTGTGTACCACCCACTCACACAAAACCCCTGCCTGCGGGCCCACGGCCTCTGATGGATTCAGTGCTGGCAGCTTGTCCTTCCTGAGCTCCAAAAGCCATTTCAGCTCCTGCCCGTTGGCTTTCCCGGGCCTTTCAAGCAGAGGAGCTGGTGGCTCGGCCCCCCCCCAGCCGTGACAGAACCTGGGCTGTGTGCAGGATCTTGTAGTCCTCTGCTAATGCAGCCCTGCCGGTAGCCCGGGGAGATCTTTGGCTAGCCCAGCCGCAGCCGGGCTTGCTGCCCTGCTCTACAACCAGATTCAATTCTGTGCCTCGCCTGGGCGGGGCTGCCCTGGGACCAAGGTAGGAGGATGCTTGGGCTGAGATCCTGAAGGTGCCGCCTCCTGAAGCCCCAGGGGAACTTCGCTGTTTACTTGGTTGAAGGGGAAATAGCCAAGCATGGTTTTTTCCCCTCTCTGATGCCCACAAACCAAACTTCTTTCTTTTTCCAAGCGCTCTGCTGAATACGTGAGAAGCACGTGGGCGTGAAAGGATACAATATTGGAGTTGATCTGATTGATGAGGTAGATCCTGATTTATTAGAGGTTATTCTTTAGAACTGAACTTCTCTAACTGAATTGACACCTGAATTCAAACTGGGAGGTGGCAGGACCCCACTGTCCTGACCAGCGGCATTGATTCAAACTGACTTTTCACATCCCTTTTAAAATCCTGATACTTGTTCCGAGCTGCAGCCTTTTTCTCAGGCCACGTTTTAAGCTCATATCCTTTTAAGATGGCATTCACGGGTATTCAGCATCTAATCAATCACATGGTTTAAAAGATTCTTCTTCTTCTTCTATCCTAGAGGGCTTTCTCTACTGTAACTACATGATACTGGATTTTTTTTTTTCCTTGATGAATAGGGTACTTAGCACCTTAACTAAGACGGAGCCAAGCAAAGCAGTAATGCAATTACTTTCATCACAGCACAAGGTCTTGCACAACGGCAATAGCACATAGGAAGTTCAAGTTGATTCTCTGCCTGAAATGGTATCGGTCTTGCAAGAGAGGGTACAGGAAATACTTAAATTCACGTTTTGATCCCCTTTGAGGGAGCCTGATTCTCAGAGGTGCTGCGTGGCTGCAGCTCCCGGGTCCTCAGAAATGCTCATCTTTGCTGAAAACCAGGGAACAGACTTAAAAACGAGCAAATAGGCTACGTGCCAGTTGCTTCCACGGAGCTGCTGCTTTTGGGTTAATCTGCCGTGGGGAAGTGGGGCAAGTTCTCGTGGATGGTGCCGGTGTGGTCATTTGGGGTGAGGGCAGGGAGGAGTGCTGGGGGGTGACCATGCAGGTAACCTCCTGCCATTCAGGTTGGCATTTACAGTCCCGTCATTCCACTTCAAAGTCTACTTCTGGATCTGAGAAGCTTCCTTGCGTTGACATGTCCACGTGAGCACATTTCCTGTTCCCTGATGTGTGCTGTCGGCTTCGCAGTAGATAAAAAATGAGGGCGGAGAGGATGAACCTTCCTCCCCACAGGCAAGGCAAGGCAAGGCCGGGATGCCCTGTCACGCCCTTATGAAAGACGAGGACAGATGAAGGGAAGGAGAAGACAACAGCAGCTTCGCAGCGTTTCTCTGTGTTGCTTGCAGAGCTTTTGGTTGTGCTCCATCCCCTTTCTCTCGCCTCAGCCCTCACATTTCATTTCTGAAGCTGCTTCTGGCGCGGGGCCGGTCAGCGGTGCCAGAGGAAGACGATGGCCTCTTAGGTAAGAACGTGCTCAGAACCAGCCCGCACATGGGGCCGGCTCGCGTGCTTCCATGGTACCGAGAGTGGAAGGGAGTCGCTGAGCCCAAAGATGCTCTGATTTCCCAAAGTCTCTCTTACAATCACCAAGCGAGGTGGTAAAACCTCGTTCTTGCTCATTATGGTGGAAGGAACAGAAGCTAGGAAGGGACGCTGTGTGAGATCTGTCCTGTTGAACTGCTGGCCCCCTGTTTTCCCCAAAAAAGGGGTGCTCTCGTGATACAGCCCAGAGCCCTGAGGCGGCCCCAACTGCCTGCTGCCCCCGGGCCGTGTTGAATGTGCTGTGTTAACTGCAAACCGAGTTATTTTGCCTTACAGAAAGCAACCAAAAATCACGAGAGGGGTGCGTGACTGGCCGAGGGAGGGTCCCTGTGTGCACAGCTCATGGGCGTGAGCCTGCAGTAGCAGCCACACAACAGTTCCTTTTGGGTTTGTTGTTTTTAAAAGTAATTTGATTTCATGGCTTTCTGTAGAATATTGTAATAATTCTGCTGTAAATACAATAAAATCAGAGTTTGCTGAGATGGCCTCTGTTTTGTTTGTGGAAAACTGACATGAAATACCAGTCATCTGTGAGTGAATGGGACAATTTATTATTTTAAAAATAAATCAAGTGTGTTGCGCTTAGCACATGTAGCCCCGGGGGGGGAGTGCAGATTTAGCACACGCCCAGAAGGATGCTGCAGCCCCTGCCCTGCCCTGCCAGGGGGGCTTCAACCTGGGCTTGTAGGAGCCCCAACTGCTGCCCCCCAGGCCGTGGGTCCCCCCTCGTGGCAG